CATCCCTCTGCTCCTCATCCCTCACCCTTATTCTTTCTTATTTTCTTTTGACCTTTAGTTAAGGATATTAAATCTCTTATAATAAGTTTCACACATTACCACTTGTAAGAGAAAAGTCTCTATAGTTATTAGAAAAGATTGTCATGTGATTCTGGTCATGATGCAAGCAGAGCCCTGACATGGCAGTCAAGACCTGGGGTCTGGGCTGTGGATGTAGCTCAGTGCCCAATGTTTGCTTACCACATGCAAGACAGTGGATTGGACCCCAAGCACTGCAAAAAAGAGAAGAGGAGAGTAAGGGTTGGAGGTATTTGCCACTGTCGCGTCAGGCAAGTCATATCCTTCCCCTGAGAATCATACTCTTGCACTTGTCTTAGATATAAAGCTGAGAAATGAGCTAATTCTTCCATCCAAATTCTAACCAGACCTGAGCCTGTTTAGTTCCTAAGATCAGACCAGGCATGCCCAGGGCAGCATAGCCATACAAAATGAGCTAATTCTCCATAATTCTTTGATGTCTTTTTCATTTAAAGCACCATGTGAGCATAGCAGTTTTAGTAAGACAGTTGTGACTGTTAGCTTGTAGTAATCAAGCTTGAATGGCATTAAACACGCATTTAAAGATTAAAATCTAACGAGTCTCCCTTCTAACAGGGGAGTATAATGGCAATGCACGTATTGCAGTTCCCACCACAGTTTTCCCCAGTAAAATTAAATTCATCTACCCCAAATTGCACAGATATAAAATCTTTTCATTTGTAAATAGCACCTAAAATTTTATTAGTTCCTGGAAGAATCTGTGTTTTGGTTAGAAGAACAAAATTACTTTCAATCCTTTTCACAAACACAGATTCATTTGTCCTCGGTTTCCTGGTCTTTGTTACCATTAAAAATTACATGACATAATCCCTGCATGTTAGCATTTTGATTTGTCCAATTCACCCCAACAGCTTCTGCGACCTCCATTGGCGGGATATGGTGTGTGAAGTCTGTTTTCTTTTTTTAATCAGCTGTTGGTAGGCTTTTCAAATATTTTATTTTTCAACCGGGCAATGGTGGCGCACGCCTTTAATCCCAGCACTCGGGAGGCAGAGGCAGGTGGATCTCTGTGAGTTTGAGACCAGCCTGGTCTACAGAGCTAGTTCCAGGACAGGCTCCAAAGCCACAGAGAAACCCTGTCTCGAAAAAAAAGAAAAAAAAATTATTTTTCAATTTTTCGAGATTTTGCTTTTTTTATAGTTTCTCTCAGTTTGATTTTGGTTCTCTCTAGAACTACCATGATTGGATTATGGACAGAGCAATAGTGGCTTCTCTGGTTACTTTGGCTAAAAACCTGTCACAAACAATTTAAAGAAATAGAGATTTATTGAAAGATTTATTGGGGCTGATAGTTTTGGGGGACACAGTCTATCAAGGCGGGGCAGGACGGCCACGGGAACAGGTGACCATCTTGTCACATTACGTCAACAGTCAGGAAGCAGCAAGGTAACAGGAAGTGAAGCAGATTATAAAATTTTAATACCCATCCTCAGTGATCCACTTCCTCCAACAAGTCTCCTCCTCTTAAAGGTTCTACCAACTTCCTACACAGGGTCACCAACTGGGGACCAAGTGTTTATACACATTGTCCTAACCGGAGACACTTCACATTCAAATCACATCAAATATCTCTGTCAAACTCTGCCATTTCTTACTTGGTGCTTTAGTTACCATCTTTTCCCCTTCATAAATTTCCTGCTTTGGAGGGAATTTCTTTTTTTTTCCCTGAGATTTTCATTGAGATGTTAGTTGACCCAAAATAGTTCTGTCATGCACTGACTTTTCAATCAGAGTTTTAGTCTCTCAGTGTCCTGGGTTGTCAATTTTCACATAATCAGAACATTTGGATCCGTGCTTGTTTCCAGTGCTGTCAGTCAAACAGTTGATTGCTTCTACTGAATTTTTAAGATTCCAAATCATGAGCACACCTTTAATCTCAGGACTCGGGAGGCCAATGCAGGTGTTGCCTGTCAAGAGCTGCGTAGTGAGACCCCGTCTCAAAAAAAAAAAAAAAAAAAAAAAAAAAAAAGCAAAACAGAACCCCGGGATTTTTAACTGAGAAGAAAGGTTAGTTTTGGCTTTCAGTTTGGTGGTTTAAATCCAGAGTCTAAGTCTCCTGCTCTAAAATGAGGAGTGAAGGCTAGAGCTAAGCTTCTTATCTCAGGGTGTCCAGGAGGCAAGGAAGGGCTCCCACAATCCCTTCACGTGGCCAAATATCTTCCGTTAGCCTCACGTCTCAGAGATTCCATCAGCTCCTAGTAGCTGCACAGGGCAATGGCCAATTTTTACCATGGAAGCCTGGGAGTTCTAAGTGTTTTATTCTTAGATTCGTTTTTATTGTTTTAAAATTGCTCTGATTAATGTCCCAGTGAATGCTTGCCTCTTCCATTAATCTGAGAAAGGTAAGCTGTGTGACTTTGCTACTTGGGGAGCATCTAAACTGTTGAAGTATGAAATAATAATTAGAGCATGGCTTTATGCGGGAGGAAGAATATCCTAGTGGTCAGGAAAACATGTAAGAAGGAAGAGACAGCTCCTAAAAATTGCCCTTGTAAGTCCAAATCATAAAAAAAAGACACTTTCATGAGTCACCTAAAAATTGCTCATTGTGATTTCAGGATATTTGAAGAGATGTTGGAACTGCAGTGAGCTCTTCAGTTTCACTGTAGATGTGTATACATGTATTGTGTACATACATGTGTGTATATGTGTGTATGAATGAGTGGTACATAGGTATGTGAGTACGTGTGTGCATATTTGTGTATAAATGTGTATACATATGTCTGGTAAGTATGTGTGTGTGTCCATACATATGTGAATGTGTGTGAATACTTGTGTATGAATATGTGTGCATGCTCATGTATGTACATATATATGTATGTGTTTGTGTACATGTGTGTATGTGACATAAGTGCCATGGTGTAAGTGTACAGGCCAGAGATCAATCTCGGATGTTGGGGCTCACACTTCACTTTGTTTGAAACAGGGTCTCCTGCTACTCTGTGTCAGGTGAGCTGGCCCATAGCTTTCAGGGAGTCTCCTGTTTCTACCTCTCATCTTACTATGGAAGCACTGGAATTGTGATGTGAGATGCTGTGTTTGACTTGAGTTGGGTTCTGGGATTTCAAACTCAGGCTGTTAGCTTGTGTGACGAATACTTTGTCCACTGAGCCATCTCCGTTGAACAGGATCCACTCTTTCCACAACTGGGGTGTTAACTGATACTTTCCATGTTTCTGCCTCCCCCTTACTGAATGTATTGAAAGCAGAGATGTGTAATCATGGGGACACTTACTCTTCAGTGTTCCCCATTAGCCTTCAAGCCAATGAATTCCCTACGTGTGAAGTAAACTGATTAAGCCATACTGGGTAACAAAAGTGAAGCTTATAGGAGCAGACCGACTATGGCCCTTTTCTGAAGAGAGGACGGATTAATAAGATAGAATCTGCCACAGACCCGGCTCTCGGAGAACATCTGAAAGATTTTCCAGAAAACTATAATGACTGATGAAACACACGCTGATACATGTTGGTTCAAAAGCCAGAGACAAATGTGTTTTTGTAATGCTATTTGGGACCCAAATATACTTGAGAAAACATGTTAGAAACGGGAAATGAAGGACAGAGAATTTTGAATATGACTGTAGGATTAGCAGGGGCACAGGGTCAGGCGCGCGCGCACACACACACACACACACACACACACACCCAGATGATGATGACCTCCTGTGCTGATATTCAAATTCTGCTGTGCCTGGTGGCTCCTCCCCTGGGATCTATCACTCTTCCATGGCTCTTCTTTCAGGACGGCTAAAAGCTAAGGACCACACACCTTTGTTTTCAGAGTGAAAATCGGAAGAAAGGCTAAGCTGTTCCACTCTCAGAGGACATCTGTCAGGGTGCTCCTGTCCCCACGGATCCTTCATCCTTGTCTCACGGAGACAAGAGGCATGGTTTGCGTTTTCCCTAGTGAGAGGTCAAATTCATGGTGTAAATCACATCCCTCTTTTCGAATATCCCAGCAGCGTCCTTATTGTGCAGTGTTGTGTGTTCCTGGTAATCACGATTCTGACAAGGAAATGTGTCCGAGAGATGGCCTCCCCATTAGCACTGAGTGTCTGAGGACAGAATCGCTTAGTTCACTAAATACGTACATGGAAGTCTGCTCTTTGAAGAGAATTGACTTTAATACATTTAAACGCCCTTGAATCAGAATGAACTAATGCTGTCAATGCATTTGGGATTGCAATGCTTCAAGACATGACCGTGGATTATATACACCACATTCTGATTAAAGCAATTGGTCACATTCAGCTCTTGGGGTGGGTTTTGGTTCCCCCGTTCTTTGAATTTCATGACAGTGTTGGTGGCAGTTTACTGCTCTGGGTCCCATCCCATTAAGACCTGGATAATCATGGTTGGAATTAAGAACTATTAAGTAAAGGGCAAGAAGAGGCTAAATCTAAACTACACGATTAATATGGTAGGTGGGGAAGTGAAGACAATGGAAAGAGCAGATGAATGAAATAAGGTATAGGAAACATCAGCAGATTGGTTTCCTACTGGGACAGGTGTAATGGTGAATTGACATTCTTTTAGAAATTGCAAAATTTTATTACCATTATTCCATAATAATGAGAAGAGGGTGTGTACTATTCCTACCTCACCAATAGCCAGAGGGAATGGGGTTTTCGTGCTGATCTGGGCAATTTAGAAGCCATGGTCTTGCCACGATGTACAGAGCCTCCTCTGCATAAACACGAGCAAATCCTTTTTCTTCTTTTAGGGTGGGGAACAAAGTAGCATCATGAGAGCCTTCACCACCCCAGCCTCATGCAAATACCTGGCTTCCCCAAGTCTCCACTGTAGTCAGTAAGCCTATGGGTGCTTGTAGATGTCTGATTGCCAGTGGAAGCAGGGTCTGGGAGTGGAGACTGACTGGTGTCTGCTTGCCCTCCTAGGAGCTGAGGTGACATACATGAACATGACCGCCTACAACAAGGGCCGGCTGCAATCGTCCTTCTGGATTGTGGACAAGCAGCATGTGTACATCGGCAGCGCAGGTTTGGACTGGCGGTCCCTTGGACAGGTAATCGTTCCATCATCTCTAAACTTAACAGCTGTGGCCCTCAATATGCCTGCCTCCAGAGAGCACTCAGACACCTATGGCTTTTTTTTTTTAAATTTGGTATGCCAAGGACAGCCCCAAGGGGCTAGGAATTCTCTGTGGCACATGGGAAAAGCTGGCATCAGGTGGGATAACTGGAACTGGGAGATCGTATTAGTACGGTCTGCTTTGCCTATGTAGCTGTGTGCCTCTCAGATGCCACTCTTTCCTCTGTCTTCTTAAACCACTCTCTCTCCTGCCCACTCTCTCCACCTGGTTCTCATGTTGTGTAGTGAGACAGGAAAGCATGCTCGGCTACAGAACTGGCAAGCATGTTCAGGGACAGAACAGACAAGACACTAAGGTACAGACGAAATGAGCAGCGTGCAAAAAACAAGCCAGCAACCCAACTGTTTTCCTCCACACTAAAGAGATGGCATACAGCTAAAAGAAAACTTACCAGGTTTGTTATTGCTACATTAAGGAGGAGGTGAAGAGAAGACACCATCTGGAAAGCAGGAGGGTTTTAGGAATCTGTCACATGACCGTTTACCATCCCTGTAGCTTCCCTGTACCAACTGCCACTCACCCAGGACTTCTTTCTCATTTGCATCTAGCCCTTCCTCCTCTTCTCCACACCTGAGCACAAACACTGCCTCCTGCCTGACCCATCTTTCCCACACCACCCTCAGTTTGGGTGCCATGTTACTGTATGTGAGGGGACCAATAAAGAAACTACCAACATGGCTGGTTCATGATTGGGGAAGGTTTTTACTGTGCATCAGCGAGAGAAAGTATCTGAAGGCATCTGGAAGAGTCCAGAGTAGAGAAAAAAAAAAGAAGAGGACTGGCCATGGCTGGGGTTATCTGTGTGAGAATGGAGAGTAATGGGGAGAGCCCAGTAGAGATAGCAAGGAAGGGAAATAGTGAGAATAGCGGGGGTGGGGTAAAAACCTTGCCGATGAAGAAAGCAGGACCTGAGGTTAGAAGGGCCAGGAAGCAGGTGTGGCAGCTTTGAATGTATAGGTGGTACCTATGAATAGGAACAGAGGGAGCCTGGAGGCAGGTATGAACTTTGATATACTGATAGGTGCTACAGATATATGTCAGTGAAGAGCCGTGTGTCCCTTTTAAGCATAGGCAAGGGACACATAGCTTTTGGTAGAGGGGAACCTGGTTCACAGGTTCCCGAAGAACCATGGCTGTTATCTAACAGCCAGACATCCTTCTATAGCTTGAATTGAGCCTAGACTGACGTTTCTGGGCTCTTCCTAACCCTAACAGATACTCTACACCACGTCACAGTCATTGAGTGTTCCTCTTAAACAACGTGAACCTTCCGAGAGTCATGTTCAGCTTAGGCCATCAACTTTCCATTCTGTGAAGATTTCTAGGGAAATCCACTATTGCTAATAATGACCTTCTTTAATCTATGCCAAGTGAAAGAAATGAAAGAGCTGTTCTTTCAGCTCCCGTGCGTTGTGGGCCTTCTCTGCCTGGCTTCTAGCTAAGCACAGGAAGCTTGTAAATAATTCTGCCGTCTCCTCATTCTACAACAAAAGAGACTCCATAGGTCAGCTTGAGGTCATGTGACCTTCTAGGAGCTGGTGAAGTTGAAATTCAAACCTACCCTTTAATGCTGAACTTTTCACTTTTATTTGACCTTCAATTTCTAAAATTAAGCCACACTTAGCAAATAATAATAATAATTTTTCCATTACTTTGTTGGGGTGAGAAAAATGAGCAACCCAATTCTTTCCAAAGTCCTGTTCACTTCCAACCAATAGCAAGGCCTTGGTGATGTGATGTGGTGGCCATGGAATGACATCTAACTGTAACTCATGACTGAAGCTCTGCAATCTCCCTCCATCCCTGGGTTGAATTTCAAAGACCAGGAGGGTGTGTGTGTGTGTGTTTACTTCTGTATTCCTCACCTCCTATTGTTCCTTTAAGGACTCCTTAGGTTTCCTGTCCACATGGAGTCCTTAGGGAAGAAAGAGAACACCCCTCCATCCTTCCCTCTTCCTGAGCATCTCCAGACCCCAGGGAGGAAAGGAAAACTGCAGCAGGAACAAAGGGAACAAAAGGCCAGCCAGAGAGGGAGGCTGAAAAGCAAGCTCACAGCAGTCTCCAAATGCTCTGGAGGCGGGAAGCTGAAAAGGGAGAAGCTGGGGAGGGAAATATGAAAATCAGTCCTTTAGAAAAAGTTACATGTATAATCTTTGAACAAACCTTCTTAGCTCGGAGTTGAAAGGTGGGATTCAATAGGTCCATTGACATCAAGAACCTGGCAAGTCTGGAGAAGAGAGAGATTAAAAAAGCATTCTTTAATACGGTTGCAGCAAACAAGAATAGGCTGAATTTAAACCCTGAGCATGAACACATTTTCATCTTAGCCACTTTTTTTTTGTGTGTGAAAGGATTAAAAGGTACATGTGTAGATAAGTCGGCTTTTGGACAGGGGAATGTGAGAACAGTGAAAGCTGGGCCCCAGTGAGGAAGATCCCAAAACTTAAGCAACCTGCCCAGACCTTCTGCAGCATGGGCAGAGAACCACTCGACCTATCCAGACCTTCTAAAGTGTGGGCAGGGAACCACATGACTTACTCAGACCTTCTGCAGCGTGGGCAGGGAACCATGTGACCTACACAGACCTTCTGCAGCATAGGCAGAGAACCACATGACCTAACTAGACTTTATACAGCATGGGCAGGGAACCATGTGGCCAGCCCAGGATCTATGTGATAGGTCGGATTTTAAGTTTTAGTCTCGGAGCTGGAAATGTATCTAACAGTGACTCATTTTTTAAGGTGTATGTTGTGGCATGTTATTTCAAGGACGTGGCCTTGGTCATTGTTGGGGAACAAACTTACACTTAAGCTTGAGAAAGTATAGGTTTTCTTTAAAAGTCTCTTCACTGTGGGATTCCACAGAGTCTGGGATATGCAAATGTACTCTGAGAGGGTGGGGAGGATGCAGCACTCACTCATCACCCCTGGTTGACTCTGAAACACTCTTCATGATGAATTTTCTAGATCCTTGGGGCCTACGCATAGGGACACTAAGGCAGGATCCAGCTTTGGAGGCTGCTAGGTCATTTACCTCTGACCTACAGAGAGCTGACCTCTGTAACTGAAGGGGTTTTATAGCCCCAAATTCCAGCAACTAAAAATCAAAAATAGTCATTAAAAATCACTTTTAAATTGGTTATAGGGAGATTTCCCCCCCTCGTCATTATTCCATAAATAGCACAGCATAGCGCCAGCTACCTATACAGCCTTTCCAGAGCATTCTCCGTGTGCTGAGGATTGCTAGTAAACTCCAGAAGAATAGGGATGGACTGTGTAAACACTGTGGCATTTCATGCGAGGGACCTGAACATCTGTGGGCTCTCGTATCTCACAAGAACTCACCTCTCCTCTTAGTTCTGCCTCTCTGCAGAACTCTGACTGATAGAGATGGTGAATAAGAACTGGAAGAAAGATTTGATGGGAGAGAGCTGGCAGAGTAATGTCCCTGAGACTAGTGGGCCGTGAGGGACGAGCCAGAGTGAGCAGGTGGCACGGTTCCCAGCACCTGGAACTGGGCCACTAGGAGAGGACAACACTGTCAACAAAGACAGTCTGTCATCAGAGGGTAGTCCTGATGTCCAGTGGACTGCTGGAATAGAAAAAAACAGTAAGGAGATGGACCGGTGCGGTTGTTTATAGTGGGAACACTTACTGACCCTAAAGATGCTGCTGTCTCCAGCAATGACCATTTGATGGACATTGGCATAAGTCACAGTCCTTCACCAAGTCCCATCACTGTTTTCGGATGCCCCTGTGGCCTGGAATTAATGAAAAAGTCACTGAGACCTAGCCAGTCTCTGAGCTCCTCTTCTGTGCATTTCACAGTGTGTGTGTAGTGTGTATGTGTGTACACATGTACACGTGTGTGTCAGAGGACAGAGGTCAGCTGCATGTGTTATTTGCTAGAATGGCATCCACCAGCACCAACCACCCCTGGAGACAAGGTCTCCCCTATTTATCTGGAGTTTGCCAGTTAGACTAGTCCTGAGAATCCACCTATCTCTGCCTTCCCTGCGCTAGGATTACAAGCACATGCTACCGTGGCTGGCTTTTTATAAAGCAGATTCTGAATGATTAGAGATGGCACTGGGGTCCTTCGTGACTACACAGCAAGCAATTCACTGACTGATCCATCTTCCCAGCCCTTGAGTCTGCTTTCTTCCCTGTTTGTACTCATTCAAAGAGAAAGTCAGAGGCAGAGTGCTAAAGCCCCATTGAGTTTGCAGTGGGCAAGAGTCATGGTGCAGGCCGCTCTGCCTTTCCTATTTGGTGCTAGCGCTGAGCTGATGTTTTTCTTAAAATTTACAGGCTTCTGGAGGCGTGTTTTAGCTCCTAGGGAAGGGGTGCACCTGCGATTCGGGGAACTAGTTATCAAGACCAAAATGTAAATGAAAAGGCAAAAGGCAATTCAACTGCAAATACAGCAGGGAATAATTAATACTCCTTAGAAAACATTTAACAAAGGAAAGCAAATAATTAACTCTTCTTTATTGGTTTAGAACTTACCTGTACAGCTCAGAAAGGCCGGGTTTTTTTTGTTTGCATGTACATTGTAAAGTGAATGAGGAGGTGGAAGTCCCTGCTTTTAATACAATATATGTATTAGGAGACTGTTTTCAATAACAAAGGCATGCAATTTTTTCTGCAATTTCTATAGCGGCAGTTCTGAAAATAATATTATTCAAAGCACCATAAATAAATCTTTTCTTCTCATCTCCTATGGGAACCATTCTTACAAAGTCACTGAATTGTCTCCTGCCTACGTTTTTGTGGTGACACAGGGGAACAAGAGATCATTTTTGCCTTTCTCCTGCCTTCCTTGCAAAAGCAACAGTCAGAGCATCATTTCTGAGTCAAATTTACTTCTGAGCTTGTCTTCAGTGTCTTGTCCACCTTCACTTTCTCCATCTG